TATTCCCATGAGCTCCTAAGGCAAGCCTACCTATTCCACGTTGTTTATTTCTAATCTTGCTTGAACTTCTGATCTCATGCACAAGACCGCATTGCCGAACGTCAGACCAGGAACCATGACCCCTTTCCATATTCCTCTCACAACATCATACCTATTGTAATTCCACAGTGCCCTGTTTTTCATTACCGCTGCATTCCTGTTACCTTTAGTCGTCACGTATATTTCATGTTACCTTAGGTACTCGGCCCCATTGCTTATCCATACGCCCAGATATTTGTATTTATCTGTTATCTCTAGCGTGACCTCCTATATTCTAAGCTCACTACCTTCATTGTCATTAAAAATCATGACTGCTGATTTTTCCTTACTGAATCTGAAATCTAACCTATCTCCTTCATCACCGCAAATGTCCATCAATTTCTGCAAATCTTCCTTGTCGGCCATTAGCACTATATCATCTGCGTACATCAATGCTGGTAGTGCCTGTTCAATGAGTTTTCCTCGTTTGACGAAAGAGAGGTTGAAGCCCAGTCCACTTCCCTCTAATTTAACCTCTAATCCTTGTAGGTACATCATGAATAATAAGGGTGACAGGGTACACCCCTTATTATATAAAAACAGCAACGGCAATGACGGCTAGCAGTGGACTCCGAAGAGATGGAAGGCCTTTGCCAAAGCTTCGAAGCCTTGGCTGGAGCGCAACGTTCAACGTTGAGCGCGACGTTAAAAAAAATATCCGCGTGATGATGGAAGTGTTTAGGAGGCCTGGGGTGTGGCTTCACTGCTGAACACCACCAGTAACGCACTCTCTCACCACAGAAAGATTGGCCACCCTGGTGCAGTAGCTGGCCACTACCTCTCACATGCATACGTGCTTTGGCTTAGGTGCACGGTAAAGAAACCCAGGTGGTCGAAATTTTCGGAGCCCTGCACTACAGCGTATCTCATAATCAACTCATGGTTTTGGGATGCTAAACCCAGGCTATTCATACTATTGTTATTATCATTGTTATAGCCATCGGCCATACCATGCTGAATGCGCCGGTTCTCGTCCGATCATTGTTATAACACCGTAGAAACAACCTAGAATCACTGGCGTAAACCTAGCAATGACCTATAGGCAACCTAGAAACAACCTTAGCGTCCCCTAGCTAAACCTCAGCCACAACCTCGTAGCAACGAGATGAGACTTTAGAACTCTCCAGCTTCACTATGTCAAGCCTTTTTCGAGTTGGCGCAAGCCTCACAATTTCTTTTATTTAATGAGAAGAGGCAGCGCGGCTTGTCTACGAAATTGCAAAAAATAAATTTTTCTAACTTTATTTTAACGTTGATTATTAGACAGGAATAAACTGTTCGAAACGGTCTGGTCATCGTTTAAACAGATTTATTTTTCAGCATTGAGGCTCCTTGAGGTCAGTGAACGTCCGAATCACTATCACCAAAACTCCCATTATCGTGTAGGCAGTCATTTTGTTCGTCCTCTTCTTCATCTTCTACTTTTGTCACCAAGAGCCCAAGCACGTGCGCCCACCGCGCAATCTTCCCCTTCCTCAATATGTCCAGCATAGGATGAGATAGGATGAGATAGCTCGGATGGGCATGAGGGTGAGCACGGGAAGAGATAAAGAAAGAGATAGAGAAACGGAGACATAGAGGGAAACTTGGAGAAAAATAAAGAGACAGAGAAAGAAATAGATAGATAGAAAAATAGACCGAGCATAACACAAAGAGAGAGCCCGTGACGTGTAATCTCGCTTCACCAAGAACATTTTTTGACTGATAATTTCTCTCTTGCTCCATTCTATTCTTTTATCCCTACTTGCTCTCTTGCCGATTACAAGTGTCGCATCCCACACTGGACAAGTGTGTGGAGTGCTTGTGTGAGCCAAGTGGAATAGAAAAAAAAAAGGACGAAGAAAAAGAACATGATGAAGGGATCACATGTCAGCTCACGATGATGGTAATTTTTTATCGAGGACGCTCGCGCAAACGTTGAGCATAACAAGTGTGCTGCAAAAGGGAAACTAGGAACACCACCCAGCTTCTCAGTTAACTGCAGCCTTGAACCACTTGTGGAAGCTGCTCCATTCCTTTTTTTAAGATGCACCTTATTATCATTACCAACATAACTTACAAAAGTTTGGCAACAGGCACCCATGAGCGAGGGTTATCGAGGCCATTTATTTTGTCTTCTACACCATCCGCAGCAAACTAAAAAAAATGGCACGAATGGGAATTAAAAAAGAAGATTGAAAAAACGTGAGTTGTGGCTGTGTCTAGGCGTCGATATTTCGACAAATGAATTTGTCTTTTGCAAGGCTAGAACTGGCCTTGTAGAAGGCCGAACTAGTTCTAGTCTTGAACAAAACAAGCTTTGTCGAAGCGTATTTGCATCAATTAATTTTCATATTAAGTGAAAATGAAGTTACGCCTTACACAGCAACATCGTTGTATTGAACGATGAAAGCGCCACGTGTTGAAAACTCATTTCGTGTTGCACGAATCGCCTATTGCGTTTGCGTACAATGTAAAAATTCAGCACGTTTGAAGACTTCCTCCTGTCAAAAAAAAAAAAACCTCTTCAAGTGAGAGTAGTCACCAGCCTCAACCAATATATCGGCGGTATCCTACGTATAGGACGTTCCTTTTATGTGTTTTAATGTTGCTATTCGTTTAGCTGAAGAGTTTAGTCGCTTTTAGCGAATCAAAACAGGGTTCCGCCTAAACGTATGCTGCTGCCACATAGTTTTCCTGTACTACTACCATGTTCAGCCTCTTTTATCAGGGTGAACATGTACTGTATGCAAGAGGCCATATAACACAGGAAGTTGGAAGTTATGAGCAACTGTGCTGGTGATCGTGGTTATCTTTCCTTCATGTCTCCTTCTATCTGTTTTTTCCTTTTTCCAACAGGGCCGCAAAACCGCGCGTGCATCTGGTTTACCCCTTGCCTTTTTTTCCCTCTCTCTCTCAAGTTATTGAGAAAATCCCGCCAGTCCAGAATTCAGACATGACGTCGTTTGGTAACGGTGAACATGCCTCTAACTGCAAATAGATTAGGAACTCTCATTGTTAAGAAGAAGAGAATGCGGAGTGATAAGCGTTGGAAAACAGTGTTGCACTTGCCTTAGCAAATAAAACTTTGTGCGTCTTGTTTACGGTAGAAGTGCCCTAATATTGAACAGGAATAGCTGTTTTCTCAATTTTTCTGGACTCTGGCGTAAATGGTTTTACGTCGAAGCTCGGGCCCTTCACCAGATGTTTCGGTGGTAAGATTATATGGCACATCCTGGGCTTGGAGGCATGGCTGCGAAGAGGTGAACAGCGTCGGTGAAGGCGCGACCAATCGCACCCACGTGCTAGGCTGGAACGTAGAGAAAGAAGTAACTAACGCAGCAGCCAATAAAGATGATCAGCGTTTCTCGTGGCTAGATGTTCGTTTTGCCTGGCCATATACAGCTATATCTGTAAAAATTGCTGGTAGTCCACTGAAAGTCCAAAGCACATCTTCGTAAGTTTCTCCATGTTTCCACACTGGCGCTGTTAGTGTGATGGCTGCCGTTATGCATGAAAAATAAAAACTGCCTCAGACCTAGCAGTGTTCTACTTGCAGCCCGCACATAAACTTGCGCACGCCATGTCATTAAATCCATGGTGAAGCGAACATGCCGAGGCGCAGGCGATTGTTCTTTCGAACTACATTACAACGCTGCCTAGAGTGGTACTGTTTCCGCCCGGGGTTGTCAAAAGAAGACATTAGAATAGCGCTAAAAAATAACACATTCAACTTCATGTCACCACATCCGGAAGACTTAGCAGGCGTAGGTTCGACGCCCTGTGACAGCGTTTTGTCTTCTCAGTTATTGTTTTGCAGTCTGCTAGATTATATTTTGCAATGACATATTCATAACGGAGATACGTCAGTGGAGCCATGATGGACAACAGCATAGAAGACTTTCGTGTTATATGTATTATAACTCTCCTAATTTCTCCTGTGTACGCTGCGAAGATGAAGTTGTGGTTATTGATTGTCAATCATAAGATGAAGAACAGGACAATGAATGTGTGTGCTGGCGAAGGTATTGCTTTGGACGCACTATTCGCTGCCCAATTTTCTAGTTCTGGTCACATGAAACAGCGGAACGAAAAGTTTCTGCAAATCCTCTGTGAAGGGGTAGAAAGGCAGGAAGAAGGAAGGAAAAACGAAAGGAAAAAAAAAGGAAGACAGAAAGAAATGAAGAAAGGAAGAAATAACGAAAGAAGCGCACGTACTAGGTCAGGGAAGCAAACGGCAAGCACTGCTTGCCACATTTTACCGGGAAATAAGCCGACCACTTTTTTTTCATGATCTCATGAAAATGTAGCCAAATAAATGCAATTTTGTGACCTGCGACTCAAATATATGACTACAACACAACACCGATGCGCCCCATGGACAGAGTGGCAAGAATGCGTTATGTCCAAGAGGTAATAAAAGGTTCCATCCCGCATTCCCATTCCGGGCTTTGAGATTGTCGACCTAGAAAAGCTCTCAGTTTCCAGATTGGGGGAAGATGAGAAAAGAAAAGAGGAAATGTATGAATCACACACACACACACACACACACACACACACACACACACACACACACACACACACACACACACACACACACACACACACACACACACACACACACACACACACACACACACACACACACACACACACGCACACACACACACACACACACACGCACACGCACACACACACACACACACACACACACGCACGCACGCACGCACGCAAACACACACACACACGCACACACGCAAACACACACAGATACAGCGCGGTTGTTCAGAGCACACCAAAAAAGGGGGTCATATCACAAAACAGTATGCTCTCAAAGCTACTCTACGCTTAACTGGAAAAGGTCAAGGAACCTATATTACCGGTAAGTATTGGTATCAGTTCTACAGAACTGTTGTTAGGCGAGTGAACCAAAGATACAAAAGTGTGTTTCGGTAAGCTTTATTTTTCTTGCCTCTCAAAATACTGTAGGCAATATTTGCATTACTACGTTTAAAAAGAATATATCAATAATCAAAGCGAAAAACATTTTTGTCCTCTACAGGGTTTAGCAAATGAAAGTGTTGGTGGTGTCTGTGTCTCAAATAAAAACATGGGAAGTTGAAAATAGACGCGGCAGCTTCCGTCTATCAGGAAAGCTGTAGGTGCTATGGTGCCTGTTCTAAGCATTTATATGTGCCTTGTGCCCAACAGCAGTGAACTATAAGCGCCACATTTTATACACTACACTGTGATAATGACTACTGAGCGACTAAGAAAACGTTGGAGTGAGACAAGTGCACAAGTGTTATTATCTATGGGTCGGGCGTTTGCGATCGTGATGACGTTACTATAACAATTTCCCTGCGAGGCCCTGTTCAAGCACTGTGTCTAATATTCAAACCCTTTTTCATATGCTGATGGGTGTTCTTTCTGATTAAAAACGTGCACTAAACGAGATCTCGCTTGTGTAACGCAAACGTGTCAAGGCAGGTTCAAGTCTTCCCAAAGCCGCATCACGTCTGTGCCTTTCGTCTTCTCTTCGATCCAGCACTTCATCGTGTCCAAGAGCTCGGGCGTCGTGAAGTGGTTCTTCCAGTCACCAATCTTGCCCTTGCGCACGCGGCCCGATCCCTCGTGGGACTCCTGTTTGGTGACGCCTTTATTCCTGTAAAGCTCCATGGACTCGAGCCTCTTGTCCTCAGGCAGCTCTAACAATGCATCCACAAAGCCGTCGCACCTGCAGTCGAAGACTTCCCGCATGTTGCCAAGGCTACAGGAGTCCAGGATTCTCTGAAAGAGCTTGGAGTCAGCCCGCAGTGCGTCTCCGTACTCCTGTTTACCGAGAAAGTCGGCTATCTTCAACACCCACGAGGATGTGTCCTTTTTGAGGTCTTCGTACGTGAAGAAGAGGACGTTGGGATCCTGCCGGTGCTCGTACCAAGGTATGAGGTGGTCGAAGTAGTCTCCGTAGGGCACGCGTCCAGCAATGAATGCCTTTACGAATGTTTCGAAGGAAACGTCAGAGCAGGTCTTGGGCGTGTGTCCCAGGAGGTAATGGTAGTAAGAGACGGCGCAGTCATAGGGGTTTCGGGCCACATAGATGTACCTGGAAGGTGTAGAAATTAAAATATGTACAAGGAGCACTACGTAGTGGTACTTATTACTTATTCCCCGTAAGTTCCTCAAGTTTCCATGTTAAATACAAATTCCATGGTAAAAGTATTACTTCAAGAAATACCTAATGTTCTTTTAGATATTGTGAATTATTCGTAGAAAAACTCATGTATACCGCAAGAATGAAAACAACCTGAAATTATACTATTGCTGAAGAAACAAGACAGTAGGTACATATCAGACAACATCAGGCCAATTGCCTTGACATCAAGTCTGGTGAAATTGATTGAAAGAATTAATCATACTCGAATCAATATATTTATTGGCGAAAGGTCAATTCTAAGCCCCTGTCAAATCGGGCTCAGGGCTGGGTGTTCCACATAAAATGCTCATGTTGATTTAGAAAGTCGTATACAGTTAGCCCGACGGCACAAAAATTATGCAGCGTTAGTTACTTTGGATATCGCTAAAACTTACGATACTGAAGAGCATGGTATTCTGTTAGATCGGCTGGAATCCCTCAATTTTTTGGCATACATAGTAACGTGGATTCAAGAATTCCTTTTGGACAGGAAGTTTTATGGTTTCAAAGGCGGCTTTTCATGGACTATGCTCACACAAACGAGAGGACTGCCGCAAGGCTCAGCGCTGTCTCCGGTGTTAATTATTGTGCTAATGAGCAGCATTACACGCAATCAGGACAAATTATATCATGTTTATGCAGACGATATCGCCTTCTTTGCAACGGAAGGCACCATTCGCACGATATATGACCGCCTGCAGCCTTCTCTTAACACCCTGAAGAACTGGCTTGATGACAATCACTTCTTACTGAATCCTAGTAAATGTGCCCTTCTTGTCTTTCCCTAGAAATATCCCGTGCACATCTGATTATGTCACCATTCTGAGGACGTACCAAAGGTGGAATGTATTAAATATTTTGGGGTAATTTATCATGCATCTCTCAACTGGTGGCAACACATTAAATACATAGCTGGAAAGGGTGCACGAGCCACCGGCACGTTACGTAGGATAAGCAACTACAAAACAGGCATGAGATACACACAACTAATGATGTATCGAACGTATGTTCGTCCTATTCTGGAATTTGGATGAGTGCTTTTCTCTGATGTTCCATCCTACAAAATCCGGCCTCTCATTGTTTCGGGAAGAGAATCATTACGCTTATGTCTTGGTCTACCTAAACAGTTTCTAACTGTGTTTTATACCTAGAATAGAGAGTTCCTTCTCTTTCAGGCATGTTTCGTATATTGACCGTTAAGACGTTTTTAAGAATTTACGAGTCACCCCTCCAGCAGTCGGAGACAGTATTCATATCCTCTCCGGAATTATTTTTGGTGTTAGATGGACACAGTTTCACACCCAACAAATTATATTTATACAACGTTTACTGGACCCGCTGAATGTACGTATTAACGAGATAAGGCCGACTAGCGATAATTCACCCCATGTGGATATTCAATTTGACGACATTTTTCCTAATCATGCAAACTTACCTCCCTATCACACTCTAGATGGTTTATTGCAAGAATACTTGCAGAGCATCAAAACAAGTGTTAGAATTGCTACAGATGCATCGCAGTGCGACGAAAAGTCAGCTGTTGGTATATCCAGCCCGAACTTGGATTGGTCATATTCGATCTAACTACCTGATTTCATACCCGTTTTTGAGGCTGAGTTTTTGGCAGTGATACTAACCTTACGGAAGTTAAACGTGGAAATTTCATCGGCTGTTATAATTACAGATTTTGTGTCTCTTTGCGCTGCACTTTCTGTTGATGCTGAATGGCACATAATACAGGCGCTTCGTACCTTAATACCCCCACATTTGTGAAAAGATAGATTAGCTTGAGTGCCGGGTCTCAAAGGGTTGCTCTTAAACGAAATGGCCAATTCTTTAGCGAAGTCATTAATAAGTGGACCAATTTTACCGTGTTTTCCACCATCCGCCTATGTAACGACTGCGCGATTTCACAAGCGTAGTATTATAGAAGCCTTCGCAGGTACATCACTCACAAATTCCGCAGAAAAATTGGGGGACCTTTAAGCTTTGCCTTTAAGAGTTGAACGTGATAGCGAAATCAAGCCTCTAGTGCACCCTTCAACCGCTAAGTGCCTGCTTATTAATATGTTTTGTTACATACACACGCACGCACACAAACACGCACACAGTAGATTGGACCAGAGCGCACTAGTATCGCCGAGTGGGCTCGTTTTCGACGTGACACATGTCGAACAAAATGTGTTAAAAGGGCCCTGAGGCACTATTTCAAGTAACCATAGAAAAAAATTCGCCAGAAGAGCTTATTGTTCCGCGAATTCAACACCCCAAAAATTTTAAGAATCTGTCCAGTGCGAGTGGAGTCACAAAGGTTTGTCGCATACTGAAACTGCATTATTTCTTCTCTCGTCCCGACGAAAGCACTGGAAGCTGAGCAGGGAGGGGCGGCCGGCCAAAGGAACTACCGCGCCTCGTGACCTTGAGCACTTTCTTTTTGCTTCGAACGCGTGGCTTTTTTAGTGTGATCGCGCGCGCACGCGTCGACAAGTAGCGACCTACCGCGGCTATCTCGGTACTTCATTTTTTGGTCACAGACACACAGGCAATGTTTCGCTCACAACCAACGGGACCGACGTCGGCGGCAGGTTTTCTGCGAATGGAGCTCTCTAACACTATCGCATCAATTTGGGCACTTATTATATCTCTGGCACCGATCCTCTTTCGACACACGTAAACTAAAGTCGCAATTACGAGGCTGCGCTGCAGGGTGCCGAAAATAAATTACTACCAACACAGGTATGGTCGAGCTTTTTGTCCAATGTGCGCTGTCTGTGGTGAGCCAGAAACTATGGATCATTATTTTTGGACATGTAGGCGATTTACTACCGCTCGTAGATCCAAGTTAGAAAATCCTTTACGTGCTATTGAAATGAATTTATCCATGCTCGTGATTCTGTCCTTTGGAGCCGCTATTTCTGGGTTTGCCAGTGCGAAAGTTTGTGAGACAGTGCGGTATTATCTAAATGAAACCAAAAGACTTACAACCTAATCTTATTATTCTTCAGTGTCGACATACGCATAACTGCGTTTTTTAATATATAGCATTTGATTTATTACTAATACGTAAACTTCATGGTAGATACAACTCATTCATCATCAAATGTCGTTCTAAGATTTGTAACGTTTTGATTTTATAAGTTCATTACTCTAAAATAGAATATTATTTTATAAGACCAGTCAATTATTGGTTAATCTCCCACAGTGGGTATGAGCCACACGTGAAGGTAAATAACAACAAGATTACGACATGGAAGCCGCTCGCTTACTTAACGGTTTCTGCAGCTGCATCATCTCCTCTCCACCAACATGGAGATAAAAGAACAGTATTAGTGGTCTATTGTGCAAAAAAAAACGCTTAATGTAACCCTACAAACCGAAACAAACCTGCGTTTAGTTTTGATTTCTCTGACATAGTGACAAAAAATTCGACGATAGATCTTCAAAAAAACATTTGAGATGTTTTTTTTTAATTTTAAGAAGTGGGCTCGCCATAACTTGTGACGTAGAACAACTTCGCCTTTATCAAACTGCCCTAAAACGGACAGGAAAAGATCGCTTGATTATTCTTGTAAATCATTATTCCTCAGTGATGCGGCAAAATGTGTCCGCCACGGCCTAGGAATCGGCTTTGAAGACAAGTGCCTGCCTATTATAGATATTGAAGAAAGAATATGTATGTATGTATGAAAACTCCCTCTCTCTCTCTCTCTCTCTCTCTCTATATATATATATATATATATATATATATATATATATATATATATATATATATATATATATATATATATATATATATATATGTCACGTATGAAGGCATGGTAGAAGCCGATGAAGAAGAAGTGCTTGAGAATAAACATGGCGTATGAGCCAGGCCACGTCTCCCACATCATAGCGTCACACAAGTCGACAGGACAGGCCACTTCATCGACCAGCCACCTTCTCCGAATGTCCCAGCAAGACGCAGTGACTGAACGTGGACCACGAAAGTACATCCCAACACTACACCAAGACCAGCATTATGACAGCACCATCAGACGACCTTCCCATCCTTAAGTACACCGGAGCAGCGGACGATGGACCTGTACAGGACTGGTTCGACCTGTTCGAGTTCCACGCTACCGCTGCATCTTGGTCGGAACGGGAGATGGTTACGAACTTCAGCGACTACGTCACCGGTGAGGCATTTAAATTTTACCTCACCCACATATTCGACAACGACGAGTCTTGGCAAAAAATAAAAGAAGAAATGATCGTCTGGTTTCAAGACTCCAATGAAGATTCCATTAGAACACACGCTCTCAGTGCATTCGATCTCAGTCATCGCAGTCATAAGCAGCCTTCACGCGTTCGAGCACAGAGCAGAAGTTTACGATTCCCGTCAGGCGAAGTCAGTCATCTGCTCATAGAAAGACATCCTAGCCGTCTTTCTACAAGGCCGAACCTTCCACCTGGTTTCCCATGTACACAATTATCACCAACGCTAAACTCTTCCATACAATACACAAATCAAGACAACATTCAAGCACCCAATGTACTTGACCCTTCATCTTGCTTACGTAAGCCACCACCTGGTTTTGTGCCAAGTAGCTCGTCTGGTGCTTGTCACTCTCATCGCACCCCTCAAGATATCGCCACATACGCAACTCACCACCTGAAATATCGGCCAAATACCTTGTCAAGCCACTGCCATTCCGAAAGCGATTGTACTTCAGGAACGCTTGGCTCAATTCTCCCGCAAAGAAACGAACCTACGGAATCGGAAACATGTCAAGCGATGTTTGCGACGATGTCATTCTCAGGAACCGGACCAACCGAAAGTGGAAACATTACGGAGTCACCATTCAATGCGAGTCTCGCCGATAAAAACGAAAATGTATCTACTGCTTTTCTTGACACAAATCATGCTTGCA